AGGCGGTTGCCGCCACGGCCTGGGCCGCGCTCGGAGGGCGTTCCAGAAAGCCTTGTGAAATTAGGCAGGTAGGGAGAGAGCCGCTGGCACTTCTCTACTGAGGGTCGACTACTACGCTCTTGAAGAATCTTCAGCAGAAAACAGCTTGTGAATGCCTCATAACCTGTAGGTTTGGGAAGGAAAGGTCATTTCATTTGCCCCATCTCAAGCTCTGTGGTAAAACAGTTATCTGGTTGTTTATGCGTTTTGTCGTATTCTGTCCCCGTTTTCGTTCAGGCTTAAAAATCTTTTTTTCGGCCTGACTTAGCTTTCTGCGACTTCGTAGATACCCTGCCAATCCCAGAAAAGGGGCAGAACATGCAGCTGGGAAAAAGAGACTGCTTTTTTTTTTTTTGGTCAGCAGCTGTTAGACTGGCTCAGTATCTTGAAACTTCAGCCTTACTCATCAGTACTTTTAATTTACTACTACAATATATTTATTGTGTGTGTATACTAAGACACTTATGTTTCCATTCTACCATTACCTTCATTTTCTGTGTAGACAGCATGTTTTTTGTTACGGATTTTGTCTTTTGACCTTCAGGCTCCCCCAGTGGCTTTTATTAGCGCAAAAAGAACGTATTTTAAGTTACATGAGACAATCTGAAGATAGAGAGGCAGACTATTCACTTAAAATACAGAAATTACAGACTTAGTATTGTACTGTTTTTGACACATAGCACAAGCTAAATTTTAATTAATACAAAAATGATTTAAAACGTACTGGTGTGTAAAAAGTTGTGTAAGAAAATAACCTCTATTTAGGTTGCTGAATCAACTTCTTTCCTAAAAATAGTTTCTCCTAAAAGCCAGTTTCTACTACAGAAGTAAACTGGTAGAACACCCACAAAATACAGAAGTGACAGATCAACAGTAAAGCTCTCCAGCAACTCTGAAAGACTAGATTGCAAAATCAAAGCAGTTGCAGATGACATAATTGTTTTCCATTATCAGTTGTCACTCATAGAGACTAAAGGATTTTTTTAAGCCTCTACAAGAGCAGAACTGAGCATTTGACCACTGTTGCTACAGAATAGCAGTTAAATAGAGTAGTCCTGCCAGTTACCCTAAGTTTTATTTGTTCCTATTTGTCTTCCTTTCCTGAACTGACAGAGAATAGCATGCATTTACTGCATCACTGTGTACCAGCTCAAAAGGAGGAGTCTTTCTTTCTACACAGAAGGTGAAAAAACAGGGCCCAACCTGTTAGTTGCTATATCTTTTTGTTAGATTTGTGTGTCTTTTCAGTGTAACTTGTAAAACAGCCTAGCAATTACTCTGATGACTTATTTTGTCCATTTATGATGATAATAAATAATGTTTGTTACCACTGACCTCAAAAACACGATCATAAACACGTCTTTCATCTTTCTAGTACTACAGTGGCCAGTGTTAATCTCTAAAAGCTGGAATCATGCAAGGCCCTATTAGAGGATGTGCTTTCTTTGCTTCCTCTACATTTTTCTCATTTTCCCGTTTCCTTCATGTTCAGAAGAATTGGTGAGAATATTCTGAATGAGATTTTAATCATAATACACAGCTTCATTGGATCAGGAATGGTCTGAGCATTTTCAGCTATGAAAGAAAGATAGATGCACATTTTCCCAATCAAAATAAATGCTGCCAGCCAATTCAATTTAATAAAAATATTGTAGAAGTTTTTATTTTAATTGAAAACCAGAATACAAAGCTTCCAGCTTTCTGACCAGCTCTACTGGCTAATCTAAGTCATCATTCATTCTTCTTCCATATAAGAGATCCCACACCCCTGCCCCATCTGTTCCACTTGTAGCACCAAAGAAATAAAATAGACTAAAAATCCCAGCACCAGCAAGTAGCAATGCTTCCTCTGAAGTCTTCAAATCTCATAACAGAGATACATTTAGCAAAATAGTTACAACGCAAGATGTGGGGTGTTAAAATGTGTAAGCAGGTGTTTTCAAGGTTGTACCTCTGAAGTTGTTGGTATCCTTTTGGAGCTAAATAATTTATTTTTCCTATTTTTCAATTACCAACATCTTTAAAGTAAGTATGATAATAATAATAAAGAGAATGAATGCATTCAGTCTGGTAGCTGACTTATGTCTAAGTTACCTTTGAAAATTGTAAAGGTTTGCATAGATTACCATTAATAGAAACAGTTCAGATGTATCAAATATAAACATTAAGTTTAAAAATAAAAATCAGAAAACTAAGTGAATTTTAGCTAACAAAGCTATATATGCATACATATACGCGGGCCTTCCCCAAAATGAGAGACTAGACTGGAAGATTTCCATAGAAATAGAATGAAGGGTTTCATTAATTTCTAGACACACGTTACAGTTGTTTAACTGATAACTCTGGGAAGCATAGTAAAATAATTATTGAATTCAAAACACAGTTGTTCTGAACATAAGTTTACTTTCATTTTCAGTGAGAAAAGGACCTGTGTAACCCAAAGGAAGCATATTCCACTATTAGTATGTAAGTAGAAAAAGGTAGTGTAGTCTTATACTATATAGTAATTATACTGAACTTTTCCAGTATACTATCTAATCACTGTTAAGTTTAATCAAGTAATTAAGCTGATTCAAGTTTTCAGTGGTCACATGTATATCACAACTGACACAACTGTGCAGTTCCAGAGAATCAAGGAATTAAATGCACATAAATTTCAAACCGATACCCAAATTAAATACTTGGCAGGGCAATGAAATATTTCAGTACTTTTAATCTCTAACTCAAAGTAGTCTCCTGGCTACTTGGCAACTGTTAGAAAGGACCAAAAACACTAACAAGGAATATGTATGTAATTAAATATATTCTAACTTTAAACAAAATGCATACTATAATCTGCTATTGTAATCTGAATTACTATTTATCATCACTGGATTCATATGTTTATATTTTGCTTCAATATTAACATAAATAGTGAGATCATTGATGTTTTTTATTACTATCCTGTGAAATATACGACCCTCTTTCATTAGATCTTCCACCTTCTTATCTGTTGACAAGGTTATTTTCTTTTCCCCTGTATAATCTGGATCTTCTGGATATAACTCATCTCCTGGGAGGAGGAAAAAAAAAGTTTTAGTTATACATTGCTCAGCTTACTTTTCAGCCTTTTGATTGAATGATACTAGCAAACTGTAAATCTTTTTCAGGATATGAAACTCAGCGCCAATAGATTTCACAATATAAATGTAAATTGCCTCCAAACTTCTCCGTATTTAAAGATACAGCCACAAATTTCTACGGTATCTGAAGTGACACAGGAGAGTACATTTTAGGTGTTGTAATGAACGTTCCAGTGCTCTCACTAACACTAACATGCCATAATCACAGTCTTGTGAGATAGGAGTTTATGTTACAGGGGAAAACAAGACAAAAAAACTTTCTTAGATATATAAAGGTAGCGTACAGTATGCCTAAGAATATAAACGGTTATTTCACTCAGTTTGATTGAGGAAGAAAACGTGTTTTGCTGTATAAATGTATGTGAATCTGCATGAAAGCCAACATAATACCTCAATACACAAATTTTAGTGATCGATTGTTAACAATAAAAAAGACGAGGACAAGAGAAAGCATTTAAAAAGTGAACCAAGGAAGCAGAAAATAATAAATGGCAGAAGCAGCTGGGACTCTCCTTTTTAAAGCAAAAAGGGGCAAAAATGCATAGGCCTCATGAAATTAAAGATATAAGTAGGAAGAAAGAGGAAAAAAAGAAATAATTTATCCTTTTAGATCACTCCATTAGCACTACAATTGTGAAAATTGATGCTGCAGCTGTGCTTGATCTACTTGCCCTTACAAAGTCAAATCGACAACTGAAGTCAAATGAGAATTCCAATTAAGAAGGACCAAATAGGAAGAGCTCTAATATCCTGCAGATAAAAATGGAAATAAGTTGAAATGCCACAATTTCTTCATAAATTAAGACATTAATGGCAACCATATGATAGCTGAGACTTAACGAGATTATGATTAAGTGCAGAAATAACTCTGCTTTCTGTAAGGTCCAATAGCTTGTCTCTGACAGCAGGCAACATGAACTGTATCAGAGAAGGAAGCCAAACAGCTTGACTTCTAAGAATATTTTCCTTTTCAGTTATAGACTGATTTATATCATGTGGCATAAACTCAAGTTTTTGTTATATTTGAAGAACTTTCACTTGGTTTCTTACCTGGTAATAGCTGAATGTAACCATCAGAAGCAGTTAACATCACGGGCATCCAACGTTCACATCCTTCTAGAGCTCGATCAGAGTTGAACTTATGTAGCTCATGAAGCGAAGAAAAGTTGCACAACCTACACAATTCATAGAACTGAGATGGGGCAAACCATATTTCCTGAGATTTAAAGCGTTCAATGGCTTCTGGAGGTGATGACCACTGTAAGAGGAAAACAAACCTTCAAATAATAGTTTCATCAGCAGATACTGAAAATATCAGTAACCTTAAAGCCCTTAGCATTAGCAAGAAAGCCTCACAGAATAAGAGCACGAAACAGGCTAATGTTGCTGAACGCAGTAAAACCCATGGATAAACTATACCAAAATAAAAACAACAAGTGATTCAAGAAGTTTGAACATAATAAAAGAAATCTGTAAAACATAATTTTTTTTCCTATAAATAAACCTTCATTTTACATGTAGGCATGCCAGCTCTGGAACCTAAAACTGAATCTGGCCTTAAGAGCTTGAAGAAAAGGCTACTGAAATAAATGGAGAAAACAGAACTCGATTGTGAACTCAGTTAACAGAGGTTGCTACCAATGCTTCAACAATTAATTGAAAGTTATCTCTAAGCAGGTGCTTCCTATGCACATTGTTTTCAGAGCAGGAATATCCACCTATTCGTATTTAATGAACATGGAATTCTTCTAGGCGTGTAAATTATTCCTAATCTTGATCTCGTATGATGAATTTGGTAATAGAAATGTGTGAATAAACATTTACAGTAGATTTCTGCCATTATTAACAAATAGAAAGTTATAACAAGCACAAGCACTTTGAAGATCAGATCTCAGGTGCTTTTAGATTTCTATAGCAAGATCAATTAAACAAACAAAAAAGTATAGAAACATTAACAATGCCAAAAACTGGCAAAATTTTACAGAACTGCCTGGTTTGTCATCAACTTTTAGCTTGCTTTCAGACTCTTTTCAGAGGCTTAAAAAAAGTTTGTTTAAAGACCGATGCATCTGACTGAGTTGTCTTTAAAAAGTTCCATTCATCATCAATCTTTACTCTGTTTTATCCTTTCAAATTAAAAAAATCAGAAATTAATATAGCTCCAAAAATATTTTAGTTTTAATACAACAGCATGCTTCAACAGTTTTACACGTTAGATAAAATATTTCGCCTAACTCCACAAGAGATCAAAATTATTAGCAGCTCTTGCAGCCCTGAAACACTCAGGACCACCTTGGTATCTCGAAGCATACCGAACGTTAGCAGGGTAGTAACAGCAGTACTCCATTGATACTGCATGAAGTAAACGTATAAAGAACCATCTTCTAGAAGTCATCCTCCACCTTCCAAACAGACCGTCATTCAAGGTGTAAATGATCTGGAGGCCAAACACTTCCTCCAGCATCAAGCTTTGCATACTATAATCTTTAAGAAATTAATCCTCTTCTATCAGATGCTACAGCCCCCTTCTGACCAAAGGGTACAATTGCAGTTATTGATTAGAAACAGAAATGTACACAAGGAGAGGATTATCAGAGCGAGGAGCACTCACTTCCGATTGCTTCCACCTAAAGGGAGAGTTAGTAGGGCGTCCAGACCTTTGGCTGACTATTTTTGATCACCTTTTCACTTAGGCTGCACTGAAACTGGGCCAGGCGCTTGACTGTTTTGGGGCTGGGGGAGGAAAGAGAGGTGAACAGGGGGGCTGCATGTGGCAGAAGCAGGCTCCCCTGGTGCTTAGTGCCGTTCAAATACCCGCACGGCCGGAATATGAAGCGTGGCACGTAAAGGAGAGCAGCGCGGCGGGCGGGAGGCGCTCCTACCTGGAAAGCTGTCACCTCCTGGTCGTCCTGCGAGGTGTGGGGCGGCCGCTTCTCCAGGCAGCACAGGTAGAAAGCTGTGTCGTAGCGCCGGCCGCCGCGGCCAGCCCTGCCGACGGGCGTGGGGCAGTTGCTCCACTCCCGCCG